GAGAAGCACAACTGCCCTCACCCTCCTGTCGGGGTTGCCCCTCACCCCCTGAACAGAAGCCCACTGCCCCTAAGGAGCCCAGCTGGTCTCTGGGTGCCATTGTCAATGAGCTGAGCAGACTCAAGTCAGACTTCTCCTAGCAAAGGGCTACACAGAAAACTGACCCTTGTCAGGATCGGCCGCAAGATTTGCGCCGCATTTCCCATCTTCAGAGGCAGGCTGGCACGCGTCTCGTGGCTGCAGTGACGCCGCGTGCTTCTCTTGCAGGTGGACCTGAAGGACCAAGCGTGGAAGGCCTGAACGCACCGCCAAAGGCCGCTTTAGGTAAGGAAGGCGTGGTCCCTGACTCGCGTGAGCCGAGTCTGAGCATCCTGCCCGGGCTGCTTATTCACAGACGGGGACTTCAGTAATGAAAGGCGCAGAAGGCAGCAGCCGCCTGCGTTCTTTGCTGAGACCGCAGTCAAGGTCGGTGCTGGCCGGGCCGGTCTGTAGGGCTGGTCTCTGGTCCCGGCATCAAAGCCCAGGTCAGATCCTCCTCCCCACTCCCACCGACTTGGGACTGGTCCTATCAGAAGCGAGCTCCATCTTTCCTGTCTCACGTGAGCGGAGTGACCGGCTGACCCGGCACTGAATAGGTTGCATGCAGTGGGCAGCATCTGCGGGTGGAAGATGACCAAGCACGTGGATCGTGTGTCCGAGCTGGAGGGCAGGGGGTTGCGGTGCCGGCCTCCGCGTGAAGGAGGGACACACAGGCGCGGGGCCATCTCGCTCTGCGCCTCCCTCCCTCGGGGCGAGAGCCGGTGTTCTTACTGGACGTGGCATGACGCTGGCTCTCCCCTCAAGACACGTTCTTTTCTTTGTTTAAAAAAAAAGGTGAATAGTAAGATTTTATTTCTAAGTTTTACAAACACAGTTTTAGAACTAGAATATGTTGCCTGTGGTACAAATGGACTCCACGTTGATTTTTTTTCATGATCAAGTGGGGAAGTTACTAGCTCAGCCCACGTCAGCGTCAGTCAGCAGAAAGGAGGCCGTCTGGTCCGCGGCACCCCTCTCCCAGCCAGCAGCCTCTCTGCTCCTCCGCCTCTCAATGCATGGCCCCTTGGCTTTTGCCGCTGCTTGTGCCAGGAAGCCACCCTGCTGTCACTCTGACGGCACCCCATGGTCTCGGTGCCCGTCCTCTGAGCCTCTGTGGCACTGTCCCTGGTGGCCGCTGCCACTCCAGGCAGAGGTCTGGGGCGTGCTCGTCCACTCATCCTGGGATTCCTCGGCCCCCAGTAACTTCTAAGGAACTCTCTCTGCGTCTCGCAGTGTCTGTGCCATTTAGAAACTACTGTGAATAAAGTAATGCATGGCTGTTTTTTTAAACAGTTTTATTGGTACTTCATGTATATATCATACAATCCATTAGTTTAATCACTTCAAGAAGAGTTGTCCAATTATTACCACCATCAATTTTAGAACTTCTT